TTGAATGTTGGATTGAGCCTCCTTTGCAATAAGGGTACTTAAGTGAGAGACTCCTGCCGTGTGCAAAACATAGTCTAACTGGAAGAGAAGTGAATGCTTCGAGTTCAGCGAGTATAAGGCCTAACCAGACGATTTGGGACCGCACGGTTATAAGCTCGAATCGATGGGAGTGCGAGTTGGTTCGGTGTCTGAATCTGTTTGCGATATTGCTAAACACCGAGTCTTTAACCAGCTGAAATCATCGGTAGGGATGAGCCTAAAACGAGGCTTCGTTTCAACTTACTTACTATAAGTCAACGTCGTTTGCCGAGTGAGCGCGTCGGTCGCTGGAGACAGTGTCTGAATTTCAGCTGTGTGCGGAATGAAAATTTTGTCAAGGTATCGCAAGGCACTCGTTGTGCAAAATTGCATGGGACTTATGCATAATCAAGCAATCGGCACAATTCTTGGAATTAGGATGCTCAATTGTATGATACTGTTTGAATTGCCCGGGCGAATTCCCGGCGTCTTAAGTGGGTTTTGGTGGCATGCTGCCACTTCAAGTTATAATAGAACAATGTTTTCATTGACTTTATTGATCACATTCATTTATGAAATTCTCACTTAATTTTTGGGCCAGCTTTCTCATGTTGAGTGAGTGGGTTTTATTGAATGGTTAAACTATTGACATTGAAAGAGGCACGATATTGTATCGTCCTAGAGTAGTCGATGAAAATGAGATTTTAAGGTTGAGTTCTATGTACAAGGTTCAAGTAATCAGTTGTATTGAATTGTTAAACTATTAACAATGAAAAAGAGACGATATTGAATCATCAAAGAGGAGTCAATGAAGATGAGATTATAAGAGTGAGTTCTATATCCAGTGTCATATGCTGTTATTCATAAAATGTTGATGATGTGAGGTTACGTGTGAGCTATACAGAGGTGAAGGGAAAAGTTATTCTGTCTGGTGAAAGGTCGGGGAAAGGGTCTGTCGAGGAGGTCAGATCAATGCTTCCTCATCCTTTTGGCGGCTTCTTTGACGATATTCTTGCGTGGACGCCCACGTTTTGTTTGCGGTGGAGGGGAATCATGAACATTGTCATCACTGTGTTCAGATCCATCGTTGTCCGAGGGCTCGTCAACGTCAGTATCAGAGTCAGACATCGCCTTTGACTTTCCTTTTGTGGTCAGATCGGGGGTTGGGGCCCGCTGCAAGCTTGATGTGGCACCTGAAGTAGACTGCAAGGGTAACGTTTGCTTGTTGGCTTGGGGAGTTGACGGGCCACTTGAACAATTTGTCTTTGCCGAAAATTTAGTACTTAACAAGTAAGTTTTGTCAGCTGAAAAATAATCAATAGTGTTGGATCAAATCACGCACAATTTTCTTCCTTGAATGGGAGACAGCACCCTGGATGCGGTTGGATTAC